TGGCCCCGAGTAAAGTGAATTTCTAAAAGGAAGCATCTCGTGAACAGTCTGCCTGACAGTCCTCATGTGGACCGGCTCTTTAGAGTGACTGTTGGATGCTTTTCCTTCAGAAGCCGTTCTTTGGACTGCTGGCTGCTGGCACCAGCGAGCATGACTGGCAGCGAGTTCCGGGGGCCTCCCCCCTCCCTGCATCACGCTGTCCAGCCTGGGAAACGGCTCTGCATTGTCGCTCACAACACTTGCAACTGCAAGGAGCTCATGCTATTGAACAAAGTCCTAGGAAGTACAGGGTCAGAGTGTCTATCTTCGTGTTTCGTTTAATTATGTAAATGTGCATTCATTCGCCAAATGTGGTATAGGGTTAATACCTCTTCACAAGAGTTTCTTGTTGCTTTTCCTACAAAAGCTATGCTTAATGCATTAACCATAATTTCCAGGTTTAATTATGACTCTAAATTAGAACAAGAACTGAATGCTTGGACGGCACTCTAAATGCACATTGCTACGATTTGGTTCCCAGTCTTGCAATGACAGAAACATTTTAACTGTTCACCTTTATTAAATCGTGGTGTCTTTTCACACTGTATTTGAGCAGTTTATGTAATATTTTATTAAATTACACTAACAAATACAAATAGCAATAGTTTTGGAAAAAACACAAATCTAGTCATGAGCTGAACAGTGTGCTGCGGGCGTCGGTCAGTGAGTTTTTGGGGCAAAAGGGCCATTTACTCTAGCAAGTCAGCTTCAATGGGGCCCTTTTCTACTCTACCCGACATGGAACCCACACTTACAGCACTTCCTAGGACCTCAGTGTTCTTGTGAGTTCCCCTCCTAACCTCCAGCTGAGCAAGATGTGGTTCTGTTCTTTTGGTAAGTTGGTCTCCAAAAAGAGAGGAAACGGCCTGGGATGCTGTTATGCACTAACAGTTTGTCTTTTTCTAACAGCAAGCCTGGAAGAGGGAACTGGGAGAATTGTAGGAAAATAGCATATTTTCTCAGGCACAACATTGCCTAATGTTGGAAAGCTGATGCTCCATTCCCCTGGTGGAATGTGTGGGTGTTTCCCACGGCGCCTCTCTGGCTGCAGGGCCTGCGGGATGGCCTTGATTGTGTCCACATGGCGCTCCCTGCAGAGGCCTTGGCCCTCAGTCGGCCACGGCTCTGCGGAATCTACTAAGATGTCTTAACACCTTCTGAGTGACATAGTTCTGAGTGACAGTGCCAGAATGCATCATATTTTTCTCTATGGCAACTTCTTTTCTCTTGTCCTTTTTATTTTTAAGTAGCTTCATCTTTATTGCAGCTGGATTATTTTAACTGACTTAATAGGAAGCTAAGAGTTTCGTTCAAATTCATCCAATGATATCTCTACTTTTCCAGGATTTAATTTCCTCTGCAAGTTCTTTAATAAGTAAAAACGGGAGGGGGAGTATATCAAGGAGGCTAAATAATAAAATTTTTTATGCAGTTAAAAAAGAGTAACTGTCTCCGATGAACCCTAATTGAAACCCCTCTTGACTAAATACCTTTAGTGCTGTTTCGCAATTTTTTAATACAACTAATAATTAGCTGTAGATTTATCTACGAGTAACAGAAAATCCAAAATAATAGTGTCTTAGGCAGATTATAATTTTACTTCTCTCTCATTGTCAGTTCCGGAGATCTTGTGGCAGCTTCGATCGTCAGGATGTGTGGTTCCTTCTGCCACGCTGCCCCTCCTCGTGGTCCGAGAGGGCTGCCCGCGCTAGCAGTAGTGCCTGCATTTCAGCTGCAGAAGTTGGGTGGAGGATGCCTCCTGTAATCAGCAGAACTTGAGTGTGTGGCCTCAGAGGAGGCTGGGAATGTGGTCTGGGTTCTGGGTAGCTTTGTGCCCAACTAAACCTGGAACACAAATGGCAGGTTCTGTCACAGTGAGCATTGTTTCCCCAACAGAACGGAAGCCTGGACTTGGACGCTTTGGCAGAAACAGGCTCTGCGGTGCAGTGCTGAGTACAGGCAGTCACTGTGCGCGCCAGTTCTTTAACGAATGGGCAGAGGTTAAACGAAGTCCTTTGTTTCTGAAGATGTCGCTGATGGGATGGATCAGTGAGACGCTGAAAAGGAGTAAGGTGAACATAGTGGAGAGGAAAAGGACTCAAGAGTCATGGTTGTGGCAAAGAACATAGTGGAGAGGAAAAGGACTCAAGAGTCATGGTTGTGGCAAAGAACATTTCATTTGAGGAAGTGAACATGGGCATTCAATAAAACAGCTGCACTGTCCAGGGCTTGTGTGCACACGTGTGTGTGCATTCGTGCGTATGAACTACTTTACCGTGAGATAAGCACCATCACAGTTTGTGGCACACCAGCTCAGTCCCCTGCACTTCTTGTCGCGAGGCCTCTTGGGAATGAGCACTTTGATGCAGGCTTTCTCCCCACTTTGCAAGCCTTTAATAATGAGAGGCAGGCTGGGGACTGTGATGACGTCTGTGCATTCAGTATGTGACTCTTCTTTTTCGTAAGTTCTTCTGGCTTTCTGCTGCAAAAGTAACTGCTTGGTTTGAAATTCAGTGAAGAGAGAAAGTAGGAGATACTATGTTCAGAAAAGGAAATTTAAAAACAAAGTTTAGGGTGGCATCCAGATCGCAGCAGGAAGTTCAGACTGAGGTCTGAGCCTGGCCTTCACCCGTGGCCAGTGGCATCTAAACGTGTTTATTTTTGTCATGGCCTTACTTTGGGGGACCCTGAAGCAACATTTAATTATGTGTTTGTAAGTTTCATGGCATGAAGATCAGCAAATTTTGCTTTTTCTTGGCTATAATATGTTACCGTACTCTCAGAAACTCGTGATCTCTGTGTCTAACAATGTGTTTAAAAAAACTCTCTTTCTGCAGTGCTGGGATTCTCAGGCCGCTGGACTCCTCCCCCTTTACAGAACATGTTCTCTGGGAAATGTGGCCCCGAGTTAGACAAAGCAGGCAGTTACTAGAAATGTTTTCTATATTGTTCTGCTCACATTACATTAATTTCAGTTTGATCACATTCTAGACTTTTTCTTAGCTTTGGTGGCAATTACATTTCATAATCACATTGACTGTGAACTAAGTTGCATTGAATTTTGTTGCTCTCGGCTGACTTTTTGAGGAGCCTTTTCTTAGAGGAGTATGTTGAGTGAATGATGAGACAGATGAACAAAGGAACAAGAAAGCCAGAGTTAAATTCACACTTCTGCTTCGTCTCAGGTTAGCTTGCTCCCTCAAATGGAAGCATGTTCATTTTTGTCTTTTTCTTTGTTCTGTGACAATTCCTGTTTTTGCTAGGAAAAGGGAGTTATTGAAAACAGTAGTTAATATCCAAGTCATCTATCCTATATAATAAAAAGCTAATATGCAAATTGACCGAACAGCAGAACGACCGGTCGCTATGATGTGCACTGACCACCAGGGGGCAGACGCTTAACGCAGGAACTACCCCCTGGTGGTCAGTGTGTTCCCACAGGGGGAGCACTGCTCAGGCAGAAGCCCTGAGCCGGGCTCACGGCTGGTGAGTGCAGCGGTGGTGGCGGGAGCCTCTCCCACTTCCGTGGCAGCACTAAGGATGTCCGACTGACGGTTTAGGAGCGGGCCTAAGCCATCAGTTGGACATCCCCCGAGGGCTCCTGGACTGTGAGAGGGCGCAGGCCGGGCTGAGAGGACCCCCCCCCCTCCAGTGCACGAATTTCGTGCACCAGGCTTCTAGTGCAGTGGTTCTCAACCTTCCTAATGCCGCGACCCGTTAATACAGTTCCTCCTGTTGTGATGACCCCCAACCATAAAATTATTTTCGTTGCTACTTCATAACTAATTTTGCTGCTGTTATGAATCGTCATGTAAATATCTGATATGCAGGATGTATTTTCATTGTTACAAATTGAACATAATTAAAGCATAGTGATTAATCACAAAAACAATATGTAATAATATATGTGTTTTCCGATGGTCTTAGGCGACCCCTGTGAAAGGGTCGTTCGACCCCCAAAGGGGTCGTGACCCACAGGTTGAGAATTGCTGCTCGTGTGTGTGTGTGTGTGTGTGTGTGTGTGTGTGTTTGTGTGTATACATATGCCTAAGTGACCGTCTGACCATTGGACTGTTCGACTGGTAGCTATGATATGCACTGACCACCAGGGAGCAGACGCTTAACGCACAGGCATGGAAACATGGAACAGACTGATGAATCTCAGAGGGAAGGGGAAGGATGGAGGGCAGGAGAGATTAACCAAAGATCTTATATGCATACTAGAGGCCCAGTGCATGGATTCCTGCATCAATGGGGACCCTCTGCCTGGCCTGCTCCCTCTTGCAATCCAGGACCCCTCGGGGGATGTTGGACTGCCGGTTTCAGCCCGATCCCCGCAGGCCAGGCCGAGGGACCCAACCGGTGCTCGGGGCCTCTAGTAGGTCATAATCAACCGTGGAATACCAACAGAGGTACATACCTTTTCCCCTTTAGAAGTCACACTCCTCCTGGCTTGCTCTTGCTTCCCGTATCTGTGTGGTTGGGAACCAGAACCCTCAGCTGCCAGTCCACCTGGGGATCGTCAGAAGCTGGCAGGATTACATTTAATTGTGCTCGACATGCGTCCTTAATTTTTTAAACTCTCCTACTAAACTCTATGCTTTTTAAGAGCAAGAACTATGTATCTGTAGTCCATATGGACCTTACGGAGAATGTGTGCAGCTGTGGCCACTCTAGAGGGACAGAGGAGGCCGAGCAGCGTGGCCAGGCCCCGACCCTGCTTCCGGCTCTCGTGTATGGTGTTCATTTGGGAACAGAAGCTTTTGGGGGGAAATGTTTCTCTTCTTTAAAAAAAGTTTGAAAATGACTCTGTTGGATAGATAACTCTGGGCCAAATTCAACTAAAAATTGCCATTTTTTATGATCCCACTGAACATTGGGGTCTTAGACACGCTGGCTATGGTCTGTTCCCGAGCTAAGCCAATTATTACATTTAACAGATTGTTCTCTGTCAATCTCAGGATCACCTGCTGCTACCAGCGACCACCCATAACAAGACCACCAGACCAAAGATGTCCATTGTATTGCCGGCAATAAACATCAACGGTAAGGTGACCTTTTGGTTTACGAACGAGATTGCTTTGTTTAACTGCGATTCTCTGAATTAACTAAAATAAATTTAAAAGGTTCAGTTGGTTGGGTATATATTCATGCATTAATTTTGAAACATTTCCCACTATTTTGACAAAATACTATTTTTAAAATTTTATACTCCTTTTAAAAATGAAAAGATTTGAAGTTACTTTTTAAATTACTGTATTTTAAATAGGAAAATTCATTCTCTTTTATTTGTCAACTTGGAAAAGTGTGAGCGGGGCTTGCAAGTGGGGTTGGGACCTAGAGCAGTGACCCGCGTCCCGTGAATGGTGGTATGACTGCGCACAAACCTTGGCAGCCTGTGTGTAGTTAGTCTGACACTGATGGATTTGATATTGATAGCATTGTGTTGCATTTTGTTCTCTGGGGCTAGGTATTAAATAAAACACGTCACACTGAAACACTTTAGGACTATACAAAGATGGTAAGGCGGAGTGTGCTTGCTTATACTCGAGAAGGAAAAATAAGACAGACATCCGTACTCCAAAACGAAAGTCCCACAGGAATAGAAAAAGCATGAGAAAAATTGCGTGAAGGAGAGACTACTTCAGCCGGCTCTTCATGGAAGAGGACTGTTTTCCTCCTGTGCCAGGGGTGCTGTGAGGGAGAGAGTGCGTCGCTGGCCCCCGCTTCTCTCACACATCGTGCTGGGCTCCAAGGACAGCGGTGGGCAGCACCGCCGCAGGCCCGGGCTCGGTGGCCAGTGCAGGAGGCCCCTGGGCTGCGGAGGGCGAGAATGAGCCCTGGGGCTGACCAGGCCTCTCTTCTTGATGGTCCTGGTGAAACCATCAAGTACAACTACACAGCACATCAGGGTTCCAGATAAAGCGCAATGAAATTTAGTCTCAGGGACACGTCTTAGATGTTGACTGTACATGTAAGACTCTAGGGCAGGGGTCCTCAAACTACGGCCCGCGGGCCACATGCAAATACAAATACTGTATTTGTTCCCGTTTTTGTTTTTTCACTTCAAAATAAGATATGTGCAGTGTGCATAGGAATTTGTTCATAGTTTTTTTTTAAACTATAGTCCGGCCCTCCAACGGTCTGAGGGACAGTGAACTGGCCCCCTGTTTAAAAAGTTTGAGGATCCCTGCTCTAGAGAGCTGTGCGTTTTCAGTGAGCTGCATACAGAGCTCACTAGACATGTGCGGGCCACCTTGATAGACGTAAAACAAGGGCTCGCACCGTCTGCTCGCTCTTCCAGAGACATGGAGAGCGACCGCGGGGAGCCGGTCCCTTCAGGAAAGGCGCAGCTCTGAGCGTCTCCTCTGTTCACGGGCGTGTCGCTCCCGCAGGAGCTCAGGGAAGAAGTGCCCTCATTCTCACCCCAGAGGCGCCCGGCTTCCCGTGTGGCCAGGTTGTGCTCAGAAAGGCTGGCGTCCTCACCCGCCACCAGGCAGCGCGCGGGGCCTGTGGTGCTGGCTGGGCTCCCTGCGGCTGTGCGCCCGGAATACTCCGATGCTGCTGTGTGTCTGGCCAGGGCACTCATTTTTGAAAATGAGCCTTTCATGGGTTTGAAAGTATAATCGTTGGAGGATCATTTCCTTTTTGATCTGGTTTGGATTTCTTTGTAAATGGTTTGTGCTTTAGGATGTAGCAAACTATTAAGCACATTAAGATTCACACTCAGGAATGACTGGTTGCGTGCACACCACATGTCCCTCTCGCTCTGACCGCGGATGCTTCTCACCTTAGAGCCTGACTTTCTTCCATCGAGGTCCCTGAGCCGTGGAGGGAGGGCAGTGTCCTGCCCACTGCAGCCTCTGGTTAGCCCCGCCCTCCCCACGGCCCCGCACGGCCTTCCGTGTGTGACCTCCCCTGGACCTTCCTGGTGGCGGTGCTCTGCCCGCCCTGCTCACCCCCCAGGGCTTGGGCGGCTCTGTGCCACGTGGACGACTCGCCTTTCCCTCTGCATCAGCGCCCCGGGCCCCCCAGGAACGCACTGCCTTGACCATCTCCACTCAGATTGCTCCTTCTCTCTCCCTGTCACCCCTCCAGCTATTCCTGACCTCATGACCTCTGTCCTCTGACCCTTCCACCTTTTCTGTGTCCATCGCACCCTCAGTGGCCTCGATGCACGCCTCCTTACCAGCTACACTCCATGTCCCTCCTGCCCCCCACCCGCCGGCTCCTTTTCTCTTAGGTCCCACCAGCCATCCTTTCTGCGGCTGGAAATTGCTAGAGTCACTTCTGGTCCATGACCCTTAACCCAGGGAGCACCCAGTCCTGCCTGTAAATCCCCTCCTTCTCTCCTCATCCCCGCCCCCCACCGACGCCCTCGCCGCACCGCAGCCTCCCTGCTGCTGGCGGGGAGTCTCTGCCCGCGGGCCCAGCTCCCTGTCTGCAAAGGAGGCTTGAGCACCACCTGCCTCAGAGTTGCCGTGAGAGTTCAGTGAGTGACGAGGCGTCGGGCAGTGCCAGCTGCTTCCAGGTTACAGGCTGTCATCATCACCGCCATCCTCTGCGGAGACTCCTTCCTGTGGGCCCAGCGTCCTGGCCCCTGCGGGACCCTCAGCAGTCACTCAGCTCTGAGCACCCTCCATTCCCCCGAAATGCTCCCGCAAAGGGTCACTGCTGGCTAGTTTCTTGCCAAAACCAGAGGCCACGCCTGTGTCCCTTCACCTGCCCCTCAGCAGGTTGGCATGGTCGAGGATTCCTTCTTTCGGTCCTCCAGTTTTTATTTTTAAAAATTTCAGATCGACAGAACAGCTGGAAGACGAGTAGAGTGAGTCTCTGCAGGCCCTCCACCTGGACTTCACTCTGGTTAACACTTCTCCACATTTGCTTCATCTTTACCTGCTTATCTCTCGACACTCATGTGTTTTTTAACCATTTGAGAGTAAATTTCAGACATTCTGACACTTGACCCCCTAAACACATGGATATGTGTCTCCTAAACAGGGATACTCCTGCATACGCACAGCAACGTGGCCGCACTTTGAAAAGCCTAATGCTGACACAGCACAGCTTACTGCGCCGTCATCGTCCAGTTCACATCTGCCCTCATTCTCTCATGGCTTTGGGGAGGGTTCACGATCCAGGCAGGTCCTGCGTTGCCTCCACTTGTCACGCCTCCACGGGCCCTGCTCCTAGACAGCCCCCTTGCTCTGGTGACAGACCTGTGCTTTAGAACCACGCGAGGTGCCGGCTCGCGCACGGTGAGCCTCCAGGGTGCTCTGTGCGAGCAGTGGAGCAGTTCTGACCCCACGTGAGCAGTTGTGATGCCACCACCCGCGTTGTGGCGTGACCGCTGCATTGCTGCCCAGATGTCCTGTGCCCTCCAGGTGTGTCTGATGTCCCCTCTCCAAGACGTGGCTGTGGCTCCCGGATGCCACGCTGATGTCTGTCCGCTCTGTGTCTCCACGTCACAGGTGAGACATCGAAGCTCAGAGTGACCGGTGCCATTTACACAACACGTGTAGCAGGAGCCAGGGCTACACACATGTATAAAATATGTTCCCATCAATTATGTCGTTAAAGACAATATTGTGCGGATATTGCAGAGTCAGGTGGGTCTTATGCGCTGGGTCCCTGCTGTACGGCTGCGCCAGTCCTCGGGGAGCCGCGGCATCCAGGGCTTGGCTCCGACGGGCAGTGTTGTGGAGGGACAGGAGAAGGGTAAACCTCACTCGGTCATTACTTGGTGGTCACTTGAAGATTTTGCTATTTCAATTCTTTATGTGATTAAAATAGTTGGCAAGCACGGTTCCGTCTCATCTTTGTGAATGTGAAGTCATGGGCCTGTGTGCCGGGCTGCCTTTCTCTCACCTCGTTGCTGGGGTTGGAAATTCACAGTAAAGAGTGAACTGAAATGGTTACTGTCCTTCCCAACAATTGCTCTTAAAGGAAAACCCATGTAAAAGCTGACATAGAATCCTCTGAGGCCCAGAGGCAGGTCTCTGGCTTATGAGGCATATGAACTTGGCGTTTTATGATGTAAATTATGTCACTTACGACCCGGGGAGGACAGGTTATAGGCCCAGAGAGTCTGGGCAGCACCGACGACAGAGCAGCCTGCGGGAGGCAGCTCTGGAACCAGCGGTTCACCCTGAGCCGCGGGCGGACTGGGCACAGGTGACTACAGTATCTTTTCTGCCATTTTTGAGTTAAAAGTTCCACGTGATTTGGAAAGAAAAGTGAGTTGTTGGTTTGCCCCCTCTGACGTAGGGGAGCCTATAGAATTTGGAGAGGGTGGCAGAGGATGTGAAGTCAGATTTTATTGAGTAGCTGGTGTGTGTAGGACCCTCGCGAGGCTATTTGGGAAGAGGGACTTGACCTTCCCGTTTTAGCGAAGTAAATTCGATTCCCAGCTCAGTGTCTGGCTTTGAGCTGGGAAGATGTCTACAGAAGAGGTAGCTAGAGAGAGTAGGTCCTGGTTGTGAAGCTAATGCCATGAGAAAACACGAGTCACACCACTCCGCTCTCTAGTGTAGTTTTGTAATTAACTGTTCTTCCTTCTGCATTCTCTGTATTATTTAATTTCCTTGTGTCATAAGAGGATTGAGAACAGGTTAGTGAGCTGCAAGGAGGTCTTTCTTTGTCTGATGGAGTCTAAACCAGTGATGGCGAACCTATGACACGCGTGTCAGAGGTGACACGCGAACTCATTTTTTTGGTTGATGTTTCTTTGTTAAATGGCATTTAAATATTTAAAATAAATATCAAAAATATAAGTCTTTGTTTTACTATGGTTGCAAATATCAAAAAATTTCTATATGTGACACGGCACCAGAGTTAAGTTAGGGTTTTTCAAAATGCTGACACGCCGAGCTCAGAAGGTTCGCCATCACTGGTCTAGGGCAGAGTCTGACTGGTTGTCTGTAGAATTGGGGTAAAGCTTGGTTTAGTCCTTAGATCCTGTGGCTCAGCCTCATGGAGGCTGAATTACCAGGTGGGCCTGCGCCCTCAGTGATGGTTTAGTTCTACTCCAGAAACAATGCACTGCTTGGCTTTTAAAAGAGAGATCAGTTCAGTCCTGGTAGTTATAAACCCGATGCTTATGGCATAGGATCAGACATTTGGAGAACAGGACCTAC